TGTTGCTAGTGCTGCGCTATGAGATTGACACCTGTAATCAGGTGCCAAAGACAGCAGATCCTAGTTGCTTTTACTCTATATTTTTATAATATCACCTCTTCTCTGTTGTGTGCTCTTTTACAGTAGAGGAAGTGTGCTTTCATTACATTAATTTCCTGTTTAAAATTGAAACTTGCCATAAGAATTTAATCTAATCAATGCAATACTTTATCCCTGTGTTATATTTTTGCTAGATTTGGCAGTCAGTAGGCTTCCAGTAATATGTCAATGCAAAACAAACTTGAGACAATTGTTCTTAAAGGCTATTCAGAAACATCTGAAAGGTGAAACAAGCAAGGGAAGAGGTACTCGTTATGTTCAAATTTGTGAAATAAGGGTTTTTTAAATGTTGGTATCTTTAGAAATATGGCCTTTTTGGAAATGAAGACTTGCACTTTAATGCACTTACTCTTCACATATGAAAATAGGAGAGAGGAGCTAGAGAGCTAAAACCTGTCTCTTAGCCTGTTATTTATTTCCTTGGGTCACATTATCTGTAATAATAACCTATTTAGTAGAGAGTTAGCATAGAGTTTTGGGGATGAAAGTTTAGTAGTTTTCCTGGTTCATTTTATTTTTGGAAGCCATAGCTTTGTAAAGGAAGTTTAAATTGACAGTACAAGAAATTGTATTTGTGTCTGGCCCGCTGAAGAAATCACGATTAATTTGTTTTGCCCAACCTCTTCTGAAAGGTACCCTATATAGTTTTTCTTGGAAACAAACATGAATGTAAGAATGTTGATAAAAAATTAAATTGTTGCTATAAGGTAATCAAATGCCTGTTGTATGCCGTTGCTATACAGACACATTCTAATCTTTGTTTTCTCATCAGAATATGGTTTTGATTAAGGAAATGATAGTATCACATCCCATCTAAGCTGCTTGATATTAACGATGTTCATTTGTCATTGCAGTATGCATCCTGGAAATTATTTAGACCCAAGATGATTAAAGCTCAATTTTGTAAGATGATGTACAGAACTTACACTGGATATGTCAAGATTGCCAGGGTTCACTGGTTTGTTTTACTTGAGTATTAGTATTTTGATTGTGACATATTTGTGCCCTGAAAGTTAAGAATTAACCAAGTTATTCCAACTGCTATAGGAGTGTTAGGAAACTAGCTTAAACAGTTTCAGTTTTATTTATCTACACAATTATTTTGCTATTTTCAGGTAGGATAGTAGAGAGAGTTTATTCCCTATTCTATAGGTGTGGGAATAAGCACCTGGATGTCTTGTCTGACAAGATAATTTTGGGCAATCTATAGCATTACTCTCGGGTCAACTGTGCCATTAATCTAGATGAAGATTATTACTAGAATAAATTCAGACTGAAAAAGCTTGTGGGAGACTTGATAGCATGACGCTTTCTGGCACCGTTTATGAAGGTGTTGCATTATGTGGGTAGCTGAAGGCAGAGCTGGTCTATGATCAATTTATTCTTCTTAGAAGTAAGAGTCAAATGTGGAGAAGCATTTGTAAAAGGGGTATATTTCATGTGCACAAGGTCAGCAAAAGTGGAGTGCTCTGAAGTCTGATGATATCAAGGGCAATCAAGTAAGATATTTGGATAACTTTTTCTATGCTGGACTCTGCAATCTTTACAGACAAAAGATGTGTTCAGAGATGCAGGATTGACTGAAGAAAATGGTTATTCTGCTCCTTGAATGGTGGATCCAATGACTGATGCAGAGACGAGAATTGCGTGTACAAATGATGGAGATTCGCAGGACAAGCATCTGTATGTGTCTGGGTTGGTGGTGTGCCAGTGAATTGGTCCCAGTGTGACTAATATTCTATAAGTAACTTGGAAAGAGAAAGCTTTACTCAAAAGGCTCAGGGGCAGCCCAAGGACATTGCTGTAGTGACTGGAGTAAACCAAGCTGTGGGGATATAGCACTGTGCAGAAGAGGGCACTCATGGCTGCCCCTTGCAAAAACTCAGCTGCTGAATTGAGGAGAAAATTGGAAAAAAATTTCTAATTACAGATTCACTCTGTTCCTGTATCCTGACATTTTGTCTCTGGTAGAGTGTAGGAGTTAAAACAGCCTGAGGAAAAAGTAGAAGAGAGGAAGGGAAACTACTTTTGACTCCCCACACTGCTTGTAAAAATAAGAGTTTTACCATGAAATGAACGTGTTCTCTGTCATTATTTAGCTCAGATTAAGTATTCCCTGTTTATGTGCATCTTCCTGCTCCAGCCATTCATCAAGATTGTTTGACAGCAGAAATAGATAAAACATTTCAGTTACAGTGAGCCTTGTGCACCCCATAGCAGAAAAAATTGTTGTGGAATGAAGGCTGAGGGGCCTGTGAGGGCTTGATTGGTGATTGTTCACCTGTGGTGGGGAAGGGATGCAGTTTAAGTCTTCAATTAGTTTTTCCTAATGTTAGCGACAGAAGTTGCTTCAGAATGTGTGAATTTTTATAACAATACTGTGGGGACTGATTCCAAAGCTTATCTTGTGTTACATGTTTTCAGTTTTGTATTCCTCTACTTATGCAATTAGGATGCATGTATCCAAATTTTAGCATACAGTAGAGAGCTGAATTTGTAAGTCTGTTTATCTGGATAAATCTTCTGTCTTGTTTAGGACAATGTAATCCAATAGTTTAGCCTTTAGGTGCAATAAAACAACTTACGTTGAAAAGTGGAAGGTCTTGTGACAACTCTTTTGTGAAGCACAGCTTCATTCTTTGCCATTTTAGCACTATGCTTTTTTTCCTCTCAAGAATACTTTTTTCTATTAAGTACTGTAAAGTGAAACTGAATAGCTTTATTAAATATAAAGAAACTCAAATATCACTTTTAATGTAAAGAAGAATGAACACAGTGTATAATCTTTGTCCTGCTAATAGGAGGTATATTTTAAGTCTTTGTGGAAGATAGCCTTAGAGAAGAATGGAAGAGAATTTTTATATATGAAAGGAAGTTATATAGCAATATGCTTGTTTTAAACAACTGTCTGTATGCAGTTGTCAATTTTTTTCATCCATTATGCTTATTTTTGAAGATTGATCCTGTTTTAATTAAATGAATGGATTTTTTTTCTTTGATTCTTGAAAATTGTTCAGGTGGTTAGGATTAGTTTGATATGAATTAAGATCTGATGAGACTCTGCACATTAGGCTGACTTTTTTGACATGGTTTTGCAAGCTCTCCTGGTCTGAACCAAATGGTCAACTAAATGGGAATGTAAGTACTGTAATTTGTTCCAGGGAGTTTTTAGGATTGTCCATAGTTAATTATGCAGCCTAAGAGATTTTAGCAGTCCCTTGACAAACATGTTGCAAAATACAGGCTTTGCTCTGAAGAGTTAACAGCCCCAAAATGTATAATACATTTTTCTCCTGGTTTAAAACATTCTTTACTTTCTTGAGATTATAGTTTCTCTGGATACCTGTACCTTCTTGCTGTAATGGTAGTATCTATGCTCATTTTAGTTAGCAGGAGTTTTGATACTGACATCTTGCATATCACAGCTGAAGGAGAGACACAAATGATGTAGTTAAAAGAGTACCGAGTGTAAGGTTATTCTCAAGCATAAAAGTGAAATCCCATTTGCTTTTTGAGTACAGTTTCATTTTCAGCACATTGATTTTCAGCTGGTGGATTAGAAGACTCACCTTTCTGACACTAGGTGCTTAAATACATTCGTTTGAACGGGGTATTTTTTCCATAAGCATTTTCATTCAGTCCTGGAGAGACTCATGATTGCGTGGTTACCAATGTTTATGTTTCATTGCGATTTGGGGCTGGTCTGTGTTTTAGTCTAGAAGTTATTTATAACACACATAAATGAAATTTATCTATTAAGTTTATCTCTAATGTGTAAATTTGTAGTTTTGTGTGTTGGAAAAAATTGTGATTGGTCTTTCCTTTGAGCGTCGTAGATTCTTGAATTCTTACCCTCAGGAATTTTTCCTGCTCTAATTCCTGTGTATCGTATATTCCTATGCTTTTGCTAGAAAAATACCAGAAATTTATGGAATCCTATATAAATATTTTAAAAATTCATGAATATTGTTTTTTCTGATCTGATAGTTTAATTTAACATTGAATAATGCACCTAGCATTTTAATGTTACTGGTTTTGAAAGTGTGAAGCTAGTTTGAAGACATTATTGAACAACAACAAAAAACAATTGAACCCCCCACCCCAGTCCAGGAAATGGTGAAGATGACAGGAAAAATTGAAGGGACTACTTGCAAACAGTCACCAGTGCAACAAAATAATGAGTGGGTCATTTTTAAATTACAGTCCTGCTTTTAAAAGGGATCAGTAGGGAGGATAAACAGTACGGTAATGGGCCAGTGCTTTGTATATATATTTGATCGTTGGAAATAAGCTTGCCAATGGTGTGGATGGTATCTTAGCAGTGTGAATAGTGCTCTTCTATTTTATTTATATGTGTGTAGCAACAGCTGTAGGCATTGGGCAATGCATTTAAGAAAGACTAGCCAAACCGGTAAGTATTTTCTAGTTGCTTTTGAAATCACTTGTGTTGTTCGCTGTATTACTGCATAACTGTAATTTAACTGTTCTGAATTTTCTGCTCGTGTCTTCAAATGAGGTGTTTCTCAGTATGAGCTGCTCTTCCTTGTACATCCACATACAAAATATTTGAGAATGAAGAGTGTTCTTAATGTCTATAAAATGATCCTAATTACTTGAACAGCAATAAAAAACAGATGATGTTTGTTTTGATGTGTTATTTTCTAATTATTGTGACAGCTAAGGTAGTCACGGGGTGTATTTTAAAGACCAGGTCTGCACAGTATCATAATTTAGATTTTTCTTTCAAGCTGTGTGATAAAATCTATGTTTGTTTTAACTCTGTGAAAAACATTAAAATATAAATAAGGCCAGTTGTTCCCGGATTCAGTTTTCCTGCTGTGAATGCTGTGTTGTGTTCTATATTTCATTGGTTTAAAGCAGATTGGCAATTTTTATTTTAGGTCAAATATACGGCCAGACTATGCAGATACAAGCTTTCATGAGTTCAAAATGCATACCTTCAGCCGTGTGACGTCTTGCAAAGTCTGTCAGATGCTTCTGAGGTAAGATTTTCGAGTTGTAGGATTTCTCTGTTGGCAGGGATAATTTCTGAATTTGAAGCAGTGTATTTGAGTCACTGTGTCTCTGATACTTCACTAACAGCTCTCGCTGAGAAACAGCTGTCTTCCTTTCAGTACAGGCGACGGAATGAATTGTTCTACATAGGCATGCCAGTTGCTTGAAGATAGCTTGGGTATCCCAAAGTGCTGCCTTGTGTTATATAGACATGTTTCTGGATATCTAAGCTGTATTGAAAGCCTGTTGGACTTAGCCTCAGAAAGTGCCTAAATCACTTTTTAAAAGATTGTTGTTTTAAGCTTCAAACATGAACTAATGTGTAAATATTGTGAGGAAAACAAAATAAATGTGAATGTTAGTATCTAATCTTTATGTAGAGATAAAATCCTTGTCTTGGAAGCTTCTGTAGTGAAGGACACTCTCATGTCCTATAGAACATAATTATGTTGTTATGAGTTATCATCTAAAGAATCTTGTGTTCCTGGGTAGCATTAAGGAAAAAGATAAAAATGGAAGATGGTGTTATACTTTCTACTGTAGTAAATAGCAGTTGCTGTACATTTTAGGTCTATTATGTTCAGTCTTGTTCCGATTTTCCTTTGAAGATGGAGGTGTCGTGTTAGACTAGAATGCATAATCACTCCAAACTGGTCAGGATAATCTTGGAGACAGAGAAATCTAGTGTGAATAGTAAGCAGATAGATCAACTGATGGAACTCATAGAATTGCTCAGAGGTGCATGTAAAAAACCAGGTTCTCTGTTAGCTGTTCAGTGAATCATACCTGAGAGAAAACCCCATGCGCAAATCTGAAAACAAATCTATTTCCTCAGACTCAAATTCTGATTCCAGTTCATTGGGGGAATTGGAGAACACTTAGAATAAGGAAAGTGACTCCTTATTTAGCAGCTTTTTTCCTATCCCCCTGCTTTTTTTATGAGCAGATTTAAAGTTAAGAATATTTGCAGTATAGCCTATAAACTCCTTAATGATTTAATATATGTTCAAACTCACAAATCTCTTGAAATGGATCATACTTTTCATGGCATTTAGGCAAATTTCCATTGAAATGAAATGAACTGTAGATCTATAGTAGGATAGATACGTAAAGGTGCAATTTCAGGTGTACTAGACATACTTAGCCGAAGTTGCTTTGGGCTAAATTGAAATAGATATTGTTATTCTACAAGTAGTCCAGAAGAACTGTCTGGTTTTGATTTTTAAATGGCTAGTACAGACGAAAAGCAGATGAGCTGCTTGTCACTTGTCATTTTTTCTTGAGTCTTTAAGGACTTTTATTATGCAGAACAGCAAATGACTTCTAATACCGTCTGCCATGTCTCTTATTTCCTTAATGTGTGGAATGTCACTCTAAAGTATCACTATCTAATTTTATTTTACAGGGGAACATTTTATCAAGGCTATTTATGTTCTAAGTGTGGAGCTGGAGCACACAAAGAATGTTTAGGAAGATTAGACAATTGTGGCAGAGCTAATTCAGGTGGTAAGTCATTTTTATTGTTAGAATACCATTTTTAATTAGGACATAAAACTTGCTAGATATAATTAAGGTTTAATTTACCTCTAATTTGTGTTTATTGTAACATACACACTTGTGGAACTACCATTCATAAGCACAATTAGAGTTGCATTTAGAATTCATAGGGATTTTTATTGCTACTAAATTGAAATGTTCAAAAGCAGGACATAACTGCTATAGGTCAAACCCAATTTCTTTGTCAATGTCCTATACAGCAAGGAATTGCTCTCATTTTAATCATAGACTGTTCATATGTAACGCCTACTGTATGGCACATCATTTATCATCCTTGTGGTTCTCCCTTTCTATGTCAATTTTTGTATTTTCCTCTCAGCTCCTAAGCTGTTCATTTGTGGTGCCTCAGCTTCCTCTTTCATCTCTTTGGTTTCCATGGTTTCTGTCCACTCACAATACTCACAAAAAGGTGATTGATGGCTCTTTACTTCCCACATCTAAGGATCATTTTTAAACTCTTCTATTTCCTGTTCAATTGGTGGCAATAAGTTTGTGATGCTTCAGCCAGCTAAGTCACATAACCATAGTGCTTTTTGACTCTTCCCTCTGTCTGAGTTCTTAACTAATCTTTCTAGAGATGATTTGGTGCTGATGGGGGAGGACCACAACAGACAAAGATATACCTTCCCACCCCTGAATTTCCCTCCCCATTAATACAGTTAAATTCCTATTGTTTGAATATGTTTGAAAGCAAAAAGCTGTAAGGCATGAAGATTTCTGGAAAGCATAGCTGTATATGTTGGCAAAGTTTCCAATTAGTTGTCCTTCTGACTTCTATAAAATCTGTACAATCCTTTCCAGAATTATTTCATAATAGTTTGTGAAGTTTCTTGCATATCTCACATAAGCTACTGCAACCTCCTCTATTGGGTTATTTTATTTTTGACATTACTATCTACAGTCTTTGCAAAATGTTGTTGCAGAGATAATCTCTCTCCCACTGCTTGAATTACATCATGGCTTTCTTCACTGCTCTTCAGTAAGATGCTGCTTCAAGAGTTTTGCTTCTAGCTCTTTGGTCCTTTCAAAATGTTTAAGCTTGTTCATGTCTTTGTCCCTGTTTGTGTTACTTCCTGACTTCTTGCCTTTTAGCTCACTGTGCTATTTGCTTGCCTCATTCTTTCATGAAATCATCAGGATGGCAGGTACTGACTTTCTGGTGCAGTCTGTGAACTTTGGTTTCTCAGTTGCTTTCCTGTATTGGTGATTATTCATGCTACCCCAAGTCTGCCCAAATGGCTTATCATTCAAGAACTCACTCAGCAAGAAATAACCACAACAGCCACAATAATCTCCATGCTTTAGAATTATTCTTTTACCTCCATCTCACATACTGCTCAACAATTATGCTCCCACCCAACTCCTCAAACCAAATAAAACAATGACATATTAACAAGTCAACTAACACCCTAATTGCCATCCTCACTTCTCTATCTCGTACCGCACTCTCCTACAAACTTTACCACCACACAGAAACTTTGAATAACCGAAACCAAATTCCTTCAAAGCCTTAAACAAGAGTTAAGCACTCCTATTTTTCTGCTAAGATCCACAGGATAATAACCTGCATCTCCTGAATGCAATCCAGATGCTTTAATTAAGGTAGGATCTGATCTAGACAGATGGGCTCAGTCTCACAAAACTCTACTTAAGGGCTAGATGCCTAAACCAACAGGCTTCTGCCTACCAGACTGATACTCTCTCAGTGCATATCAATGAGCTTGCAACTAAACTTGAACTTCACTACAGAGTTAAGAAGAGGAATCAAATCTCTGTAAAAATGCTTACAGCCTTATGCGTCAACACTCGGCCATCTCACCTGTGACCTTCGTTAACCAATGACTATTCTCAACTACCTATAAAGATATTGGCACACTTTATCTCGTCTTTGGTGCATGGGCTTGCATGGTTCTCATAGCCCTTAGCTTACTCATATGTGCAGAACTTGGACAAATAATATTTTGCAGATGTGAAAACTGTATAAGCAATCACAGTATTTTTCATTGAAAACACAGGTTTTTCATATAACCCCCTACAGATAGCCTAAATAAAATATTTAAAATTTTATTAAAATTTGAATATTTTAGAGCAATTACATTTGAATTGATAGAGTGGAAAAGCAGTCTTCTTCACAAGAGGACTATCTTCCCTGGTGTAAACCACCCCTACTTCTTTTTTTTTTTTTTTTTTTGTACCTTTTATTTTAATTGCTTTTGTAGTTTTTATTTTAATTGTCTAGCAGGCACCCCAGCAGGCAGGAGCTTGTATTTCTATTCCTTTGTAAAGATCAGTGGACACATATGGTGCCAAGTAAGAATTGACCGTAAATGCCTAGATAACACAAAGTCTGATTTCTTGCAGTTTTCCTGCATATATGTCTAAGTAATGTTGTGGATTTATTAGAGGGGAGAAAAAGCCCCAATACAGTCATGTCCATCCCTCCGACAACAACAAAAAGAACCCCCAAAACTAAATAACTTTTTTTTTCTTCATAAATAGAATAAATTATCATTTTATAGCTTCAAATGTGCTGAGTGTTATTTTTAATTTTACTTTAAATCGTTGCCCTGATTTTTGTAAAATTATAATGTACTGTACCTTTCTTTAGTGAAATTGGAAGTAACTGGATTGTTAAGATACTGTTTTGTCTTGCATGGTGGGCTTAAGTCCAGGTGTTCTCTGCTCTCTACAATCTCTTCAAGCTTCTCTTTCTCTTTTCAGTCTATTTCTATGCAAAGGCTCCCAGTTTTCTGTAGCTCTAGTACAAGATCAAAGATGTGTGTATCTTCCACCTGCTCATAAGGGAGAATGACAGGAGATGCTAGGCTATGGCTTCCTTACAGCCTGCTCTGAGAGCAGATCACAGCTGCAGGAGCAAACTCTGAATTACAATTCTTGCTATTCTCCCCGTGGCTCTGTGAGTGGAGTATGGAAGGGTTAAATATTTCTGCCCACTTTGCTGAAAATGTGTCCTTTTTCCACGTGGTGAGGGACTTTGGCCCTACACTGTTAAGTAATAACTCCTTATTTAGAGTAGGAAGGGAAATCTTGAGGTTTTTCTCTACTGTTTTCCATTTTTCTTGTCTTTATTCCATCTTTGTCTTTTCAAAGAAAGAAATAGTAGTGATTGAGCAGTGCTGCCCATTCATAATGTGCACTGGGTAAGGAGAGGTTTGAGGAGGAGAAGCATTACCAGTTCCTGCTTCCCCATATGGTCCAGAGGGGGATGGGACAATTCAGATTCTTTTAAATACTGGCTTTGCAACCTGTGTATGAATAGTTTTCTGGAGCTATGTTTGAAGGTGTCCTTGCTCATGTCAGGGAGTTGGAACTGCATGATCTTTACGGTGTCTTCCAACACAAATTGTGTAAAATTTAAAATTTTCACTGCATTTTGTGGAAATAATATGCTCTGCATGCACAAAATTTTAAAATAGAGTTAATTTTGATTTTTTTTTTTCCTTTTTAAATCTTTAGAGAAATTAATTTATGATAAATTCATTTTTTTCTAGTGGTGCTCCCATGTGAAATTAGCAAAGGTGGCCTGAGAGTGAGAGCATCTAAGCTGCTGTGGAGCATAGCCAGAATGCTTCTACAGTAGCAAAATGCCTGGGACATTTATTGTATTGCTATGTATTTCTTTTGTTTCTAGGGGACTGTTATAGCCTTTTTCACAGGGTAGAGTGGACATAAAATACAATAATCCTTTTAGAAAACTGGACATCATTATTCCCCAGTCATGTGGTATTAGTTACAGCCACAAATATGGAATATATATATATATATATATGCACACACTATGATAGATGTGTGGTTTGTGTAATCTGCTGTTCTGTCATTCTGGCAATGATTGATTCCAGACGCTTCACAGGAAAGAGTAAATTCTCCATGTGGTAGTCAATGCCCAGATATGATACTACTTTCTTAAACCTATTAAGTTTTCTTTTTGCCTTTTTGGAGTTCTAAGAGTTTTTACATCTTGTTAATGGTTTTGCATAGCTTCCCAATTTTTGTTGATAGAAAGACCTGACTGTGTTTCAGGAGTTTTGGTACAATGAGTTCTGTAAATTTTTTTGTTTGCCTTTTGTTTTTTGGTGTTTGTTTTCACAGGTTGCATATCTCACCCTGGTTATGTTTGACCTTTTTAGTTTAATGTGTGGCTTTGTGGCTTTTTGTGAGAAGAGTCAATGGGAGGTCTTGACTGGCTGCTTCTATATGATAGATTATTTTATAACTTCTCATGACTTCAGATTACTATACTCTGTGAACTGACTAGTCTTAACTCTTTTTCCATTGTGTTTTCATAATTGGAACTTTTTCTCTACCTCAATTTTCTTTTGCGTATTGTAGATCTGTTTCTAGAAGTCTATTTGAAAAGAGGTGATCAAAATTCAAAACACTGCAATGAGAATATACCATTAGGTTTCATAAAGGCATTTTCATTTTTCTCAACATCTTCTGGCTTTGTAGTTTAAGATTTTGTTTTCTTTTTAGACCACTGAGGAGACAGTTTTGCTAGCCTTTCTGAAATGATGCTTAGAACCTCCCTGAGTGGGTTAAATCTCTTTTGCTTTCATTCTGAGTCAGTTTGTGAAAATTCAAAAGACATCCAGAGACAGATGAAAGTTTTAGAATGACAAATTTAACAAGTGTCAGATTTAGATGATACACTTATGAGAGAAACATTGACAAAATCTGAAGATAAATTGCTGTGTTGTCATGCTATGCCTTATACACAAACATATGTCAGCTTTTCAGATGTTTTGCTTCAAAGAAGGACAGTTAAACAGACTGTAGAAGTTACAGTGATAATAGATGCAGAATTAATCAGTTGAATTAATAAATAGAAGACAGTATCTGTATTTATCTCTTGATGTTTTGGTTATTGTCACTGTAAATCAGCAGAGCTGGTTGAAATTTTCTGAGCTTATTTCTGTCATTAATGATTTAACTATTTTTCCCCTGAAATGCTGCCCTGTACATGCTCAAGTAGTTTTCTGCATCTTCACATATTTTACTTTTATGTCCTATCACTTAATTTTTCTTTGACTTGAAATCCTCCATGCCCTCTCTTTTCTGCTAGTATTCTAAAGAAGTCTGTGCAGCCTTAAACACAAGGCCTTATGAAACCCTTATTCACAAGGGCTATAAAATTTATGCATGTATTTTCTGACAGCTCCATTTGTGAGGACATATATGGTGTTCTTTTCTTTGGTGGCTGATGTGGAGGTCTCCCCTTTCTACCTCTTCTGGCATCTCAGCTGCATTCCTATGCCTTATTTCCAGGCACAGCACTTTTTTACTTATCTGGTGGCGCCCTTCCTCTAGATGGAAGGGTTTACATATGGAAATAGCTCAATAAGCATGACTAAGACATGTTTTTAGTAGACAAAGTGAGAAGCTGTCTGTCCCGTAATTCCCACTTTCATTGTACAGTTTATTCTGTGGCTCTTACAATTTTTGCAGAGGTCCTCAGGATTGATAAAACAGTATCAGTCTGTCCAGAACTTACTACAGAACTGTAGTCTGCTTTATAGTTTAAATCAGCAGAATTAACAGTTGATTTCTATTGTTGGACTGTAATTTTTCCAAGTCTGTCCAATTATATTAAGTATTTTCAGGCAAATGTTTACTGTTTCCACAGACTACTGAATATTTCAATTAGTTGAGCCTCCAGTAATGGGTCTAGAATCTGAAAATATTTTGAATATTTTAAACCCAGTCAGGTAATTCGTTCACTCACTTCCCCCCCTTTCTTGCCCTCCCCCTACTCCCGGAGGGACGGAGAGGAGAATCGAAAAGAATGCAACTCCCACGGGTTGAGATAAGAACAGTTTAGTAACTAAGGTATAACACAAATCACTACTGCTACCACCAATGATAATAATGATAAAGGAAATAACAAGGGAAGAGAATACAACACCTCAGCGCCAGCCGACCGATAACTCGCCCCCCTCAGCCCGACCAAGCACCGACCGATACCTCCTCCAACCCTGCAGACCCCCAGCCCTTCCGGCTAACTCCCAGTTACATCCTGGGCATGACGTGCTGTGGTATGGAATACCTCTTTGGTCAGTTTGGGTCAGGTGTCCTGTCTCTGCTTCCTCCTGGCTTCCCCTCCTCCCTGGCAGAGCATGAGGCTCACAAAGTCCTTGGCCAAACCAAAACATCTCTATCAGCTCTGTTCCCGAGCTGAAAGTCAAAACAGAGCACTGCACCAGCTACCAAGAAGGAGAAACATGACTGCTACTGCTGAACCCAGGACACATGCCAAACCCACAAAATTTTCTTCTTTATATTGCTGTTCCTAGGGAATGTTAGAAGCATCTCTCATTGGGGAGTAAATGGGTTAGAAAAACATTAACTGGGCATTTTAATAGTAATTTTTACTTCCCTTATGCATGGTTTTCTCCTTTGGATAATTCTATTTGAAAAAGTGCTACATTTCCTTGGGTGGAAAAGAAATCTCTTCAACTGTGTGATGAACTTGAAAGTAAATGCTATCATATGAATGGGTCAAATTTAGATTTGCTTTCATATGATAATACTGATATTGTTTCATATGATAATGTTGCCCAATAATATAGTTCATGCTGTTTATGTAATAATTGCTTGCTACAGCACATTAGGGATTATTTATAAAAAGCATGTATTTTTGACAGATGAAACGAAACCAGCAGCTTTCACTGTTTACCTTTTTGCTGGCTAGATCAATAGTTGCAAAATTGCTGGCTCTCCTTCAAGCCTATCACGTCATCAAGTAAAAGTTCAAATCCCGGAATATTCATTGGAGTTATGACACTTTTTATTTAACCTCAACAAAGGTTGTGCTATGTTGCGTAACTCACCATCCTTGCTCAACCTGAACGAAAGTCACTTTGGGGGCTTGATATTTTTTGCAAAGTCCTATACTATGGTACTTCTATGTCATGATTTGCTTTTGTTCTGATTATGCAGTAACTGGCTAAATGACTGTGAAAGAGCAGGTAGTCCCACAGCTCCTTCAAAGTGGCTTGCTTTATAGTTCCTGCATTTTAAATATTTTGAATTTTCTTTTAAGATAGGAAGGTGAGTAGTTCACTACAGATTCTTTTTATTTACTCTCCATTTAGTTAGCATGTAAATCCAGCTGCTCTGTTGCATCCCTGAGGAGCACCTTATTCCCATTTTCCGATCTGTGTTCCCTCACTTATTGAGGCCAGCTGTTGCTCCTGTTGCTTTTATAGTAAAATATAATTATCCAAATGTGACCCAATGGTATTATGGCCTCAGTGAATAAACAAAAACCATAAAAATTTTGCTGAACTGTGGCAGTAAAAGTAGCTTGCTGTCAGAACTGAGAACTCAATAATTTCACTGGCGCATTGGTGATGAGCAGGAACTTGAATTAAAATTGTCATGTGTAAAATATTTGTTGGTGGATATCCTCAGACATCCATTTTTTCCCTAAAAATAGAAATAAGGTTTGGTTTTTTTTCCTCTTGTATAAGATTTGAAAAGAAGATCTCTCCTGAAGAAGCAATTCACATAATTCAGTAAGGAATATCCTGAAATACAGGAATATTTAAACTGTAATGAAATAACAATATAAGCCTAAGTTTTACTTTTTGAATAGACTTTCATGTGCAAACAGAGCTAATGTGTATTTTTCCCGTTTCTGATGCATTTGTTAATAGCAAAATCACAAATGACATTTTGGTCCATCAGTTACCAAAGTTTGGGGCTTTTTCCCACCCCCTTCCCCCCTTTTAATGAATTTTATATTATGCAAGTTAGCAGGTATTTTTATTAGCTGCCTGTGTAGTGATTTATTAAATCCAATTATTGTGAACTAATCCATTAGTTTCCTAATTATTTATTATGAGAAGTTTTGGGATGCTTCAGTCAACAAATCAGATTCATTTCTTCCCACTGGAGGATGGAATGACACTTCCTTTTAATTTTTTGGATAAGAGATCTGCTGCACTAAATATAGGCCATTAAAAAAAAAAAAAAGCACAAGTAAGGGAACAAGAAACCCAGACCCAACAGAAAACCCCACAGATTTGAAGGTTTGCCCGCCTTCAAATACTTCCGTAAATGATTTCCCTTCGTGTCTAGTCATTTATAATGCTGAGAAGAAACATTCAGAGAGGTGCTTTTATTCAGATTTTGGCAAAAATTCTGGAAGCCATGTCAAATTGCCAAAGTAAATATCAAAATTATATTGAATGTGAGCAGCATTTAGGCAATTAATTCCCTCAGGCTCCTTAAGAAGCCTCAGTACTGCATCTCCTCCTTTGGGGCTGGCTTATTTTTCTTCTTTGCTCACTATACAAATGCTAATTAATACCTTTGGAAAGGTTGTGATCATAAAAGTGTTTTCTGTGGATGACATGATGATGTGTCTTTGGCGCGCTGTATGAGAGAGGCAACGGTGATTGAAAGCGTACGTGAGAAGAGAGCTCTGCCAGTGGTAAACAGGCTGTGCTTCCCCAGACCAGCCCAGAGTCCTCAGCTAGCGTGCTCGGTCTTGGCATGCCTTATCATCTTTGCATAAAATTCTAAAAGCCAGGGTTTTTTTTTTCCCCACACTTTGATGCAGTTTTTATTATTTATTTATTTACTTATCTATTTTTGAAGTAGAACAAAATCTACTTGTAGTTAAAGCATTTTACTTCATTTACTCTAAATATGGTTTACTGCTTATAAGATATTACAGTAAAAGTTTTCAAATCTGATGATGTACAGACTAGGCGTGTGCAGTTTGTGCTTTGCCTCAGCAGCATGCACAAGTGCTGGAGCGCACACAGGTAAATACAGCTGTGTTTGCTTTGAAAAGGCACAGAACCAAGTCTAGTGTACACCCAAATACTATTACCAGATTAGACATTCAAAGAAAAATGGACAAAATACTCATTTTGCGTCTTTTGTGATGTGTAGTGGTGTATGTGTGCAAAAGTGCTATTGTCTTGATGGAGTCCTGATTGCCCACAGGACTGTATAATTTTCCCCTTGTTTTTAAATAGTACAAGCGAATTCAAGCGAAAGAGGCAGATGTAACACCAATGGCTTCAGAGTTTGTGGTATACTAATGCAATGCTGAACTGCTCTTAAAAAATGTAGAAAATTTTGAGGCTAAAGGTATACTTGTTATCTTGATCTACGTTGGCATGCTGTGAAGAGATTCAAGAGTAGGTGTGAGCTCAACTTGCAGTGAACAGCGATAGGTTTTGAATTCCCAACAAGTCAGTATTTAAAAAGTACTTTGGAAAAGTTGTAGAAATTCGTGAAGTTCGGATTGCTGTGCCGCTTCTGGAAAGTGCAGCATTAGCTGGCAGCAAGGAGCCTTCCTGGCCAGCTCAGCACAGGACCGATGGGCGGGGAGGAGAGCAGAGCAGGGCACAGCAGGGTTTGCACAACAGCCCCGGGCGGCCGGGGCGGCTGCAGGTATCAGGTAGCGTTAAGAAGGCAGTAGTGTTTCTGTAACTCAGCACGACACGCACTGAGATTGCTAGATAAACAGCGCACGATTTACAATCACCAATAATGCCAATTTTCACTTATGTTTCAGAACACGGGAACCTGAAACACGAGGTAAGGATTTTTTTTTTCCCTTTGCATATAATGTTCATTTTGTCAGTGACATAAGAACTCATTTATATTGTGCATGTGCTGTTGAAGCAGGTATGTTTTTCTTTTGTGTTCAACAACAGATTTCTTTAGGGTGGTGGCAAATAGAAATTGTCTAAAAACCAGTGGATTCATAATGAAATAAAAATGTATTCTGTTCAAAGTGCGAGTCAGTTTTCGGTTGGTATGGCTTAGTGCTGAGAGCACTGGAAGGGGTAGAGATGAGGTGTTTTTTTAAAGTTACAGGTAAAAAACATACACTGGCATCTAGATATGTACTGTTCCTAGACCAAATGTGGTAGTAGAGTTAAAAGTAGCCTCTCATTTTCCTTTTTAAATACTAGTGAGTCCTGCTGGAATACTAGTGTGCCAATCTTTGCCATGCCAGACTGCGGGGTGATGGAATATCAGCAGGGCAGTGTTTGCCTCTTCATCTAAAAAGACTTTAGTTGTTTTAAAGCTATCCATTGAGTGATTATGGAGTTTCTAGAATCTGGAGAGAATGGTAAAATGGGCACTGTACAGAGAAGCTACCATGGTGCACATAGTGTACCTTACAGTCAGGCCAAAAAGGCTGTAAGCTACCCTGGGATGTTTTCTCCTCTGGTGCCTTTCCACTGTAGTACAGAAGGGCATGGCAGCTGGGTTTTGTCTGCCGCCTCTGATAAAGGAGAGGCTGCGCTTCAAAAGTAACATATGATAGTTTCCAGTGTCTATTTTAGATCAGTAGTTCATGGTAATAAGCTGTTTACTTAAATGACATGCTGCTTACGAACAACATATGAGTGTGTATGTTACTTCTCTCCATAAGCGTCTGTATTTGATGCTATCACTAAAAACAGGTGATGGAATCGGAAGGATGTTATTGCTGACATGACTGGTGCAGGGGGATTCGTGGGCAGGGCTGACCACATCTGTGCTCGGTGATGCTTGAGCTGTTTTGGTGTCACTGTGACCCCTGGCACCCTCTGGCAAGCTCCTTGGCCACAGGCCTCCAGGGGAAGGGTGAGGTGGCTCAGGAGGAGCTCTGGGTCAACAGAGGGCTGCACGGGCACCACAGACCGTGCCCAAGGTGCTGCTGCCTGCCTGCTCTCCTCATGGCTCCCTTAGCTGTGTGTCCCACCTGGTGCTACCTGTCCTTTCATGCTTGTGCCTAGAAATACCTGCTATTTTAGAGTTCTTAGGGCACTCTAAAATACAGAAGCTACAGCCTAACTCTCAGCAGTACTGCAGCTGATGGGCAGAGCTGGGATCCATAAACAGATTGCTTACTTATTCTTGTGGAAGAGGTTGCCAGACTTACTAAAGCTAACTGTGGTGAGCATACTGTGGCTGGAAGAAAAGAATATATATACTGGTTGTATTTAATCTGTCTTCCTCCTTGGCTTCTAGCCCCCGAGCTTGATTTGTAAATTTTTTTTTTGTGAGGAAAAAAATGGCTTCCTTTCTAGACCTATTGATTTGCAATTGACTATTGAGTTGATCTAAAACATCGGGATTGTTTCCATTTTTGCCAAGACTTGTATAAATGCCTGCTTTAATTCTCTCTGTGCAGAAGGAAACCTGAGTGTAGATTTGGCTCTATCTCTGCCTATTTAGTTTTCATACTAGTAATGCACTTAAATCTGCTGCTACTGCAGTAACATTTGAGGGTATTTAGCATATTTTCATACAGCGTGAGAATTATTTCTATCTGGTCCTTTGGTGCATATGATTTATGTTGTCACAGAATTAGTATATTATTTTTTCCATTTCAATTAAACATTTTTGTATCTTCCTTCATGAGTGCATTTCCTATGCCTGCCCCTTTCCTTCTCCCATGCAATTCTGTGGTTACTCACCACTACACCAATCCTTATCAGCAATACAGCCTACATATAAAATTAAATATCTAGGATACAAATGAGCCTTTTGTTTTTATTCACCAATATTACCTTCATTGTAGTGGCAGTTTTATATTTTTCTTCTTTCCACTTCAGATGAAAAAAGTTACATCCTTTCTTAAATTAGGATTGTGGGGGACAGGGAGAGTGTGTCCAGAGACTTGGGAGTTTGAAAGCTGCTTTTGTACCAAGCTTTTGATTTTGCCAGCTTGCTACAGCGTTTGGTTGTGCCTCAGGTTACTGCTTTCTGGCTTGCCTCGGTGTGTGTCCTGCACCGGCTTATATCAACTGCAAGTAAATCAGAGCAACCTAATTGTTCCCTTTGTTATGCAACATGCTTTTCTCTGCATGGCTTGATTAAAAAATAAATGCATGAATCTTCATGCAAGCTACCAGTTAAAACAAGTTTGCAAAACCAGATCAGTAGTTCACAGAGATGTGTTATTTCACATTTAAATTTTCAGGGATCCATACTAAGTGACTTGGAGTATATAATACATTAAAAAAGAAAGTCTCAGTCTTGTAGGAGAGTTTCTGATTTCACACAGTTTTGGTTTATCCAAAGGAGTTACTTTAAGTACTTGCCCAGAAAAAGTTAAGAATGCCATAGGAAGTTTTAGCTACCTGAAGTACAAAGTAGGAAGAGTGAAAGTTTTGACCTTATCAGAGCAGCTTACATTGCTTTAATACTTAAGTGTTTGTGGACATTACCTGGGGCAGGTAGTGCTAAGCTCTGTATTTTTCCTCTATCCTATCCGTAAATGATTAAAAATAATTTTGTTCTTGATATCAAAAGACATGGTTCTATGAGCAGACCTTCTATGGACTAAGAATCATTTGAGTCTAGCATCAGAAAAAATTGCATATATGAAAAACCTACATTATAAAGAATATTTTTCAAAGGATGATCTTTCTACAAGATAAAGATAATTGTGGTGGTGTTTGGGGGGAAATAAGAAAACCAGCTCTGCCTAGCAGACTGTGGGAATGTCAGGAGTGCAGTGTGCCTACATGAAAACATGTTTATTCATTATCCTCCATTTGTGTTTTTGTTCTGCAGAAACGAGCAAATGGAATTAGAAGAAATTCTAGGCACGTGGACCCAGGTTTGTGTCATGGCTTTTTACAAGTTAAACATTAAGTAAAAAGAGTGAGAAAGCTTTAATTGACTTTAGCAAGTTACATTGTGAATGCTATTGTAATCTGTGAAATGCTGAGAACTGTGTTGCTAAAATTGTGAAGGTCTAAAGCGACTGTACTGGTTGTGATTTCAAAGGTAAGGTCAGCTGGTTGAACTCTTATTTATTCATTTTTTAATCAGTGAACTTGAACAACCAGGCTTTTTATTTAAAAGAAATAACTAATGACGAAAAGCCGACAGTTGCTCATAAAGCTTCAGTTCTTATCTGCAAAGTTGTTGGTACTCTCAACCCTCTTAACTGTAGTGGTGTTAAGTGCTTAGCTGTATTGAGCAGAAGTTGCTCTTCTAAAAGGCCAAAATAAAGCAATTGCAGTTTTAGGTAGAATTTCAAAGTGATTTTATTCTTTTTGTTAGTTTGTAATAGACGCTTTTGTGGAATCATGGTAACAGCAGCCCTTGAGAAAATTAAATGCTTGTGTACAGGCTGTGTACTCAAGTGGGGGAACATTTTCTCTGGAGACCTATTGTATTTCTGTATAAAATACTCCATGGTTTTCAGTGTAACTGTGATGATTTTAGTGTAATTTTTTGCAGTAATTACATTTCTGTCCTTTGTTTCTTGTATAGTTTAATTACTGAAGATTTGTTATGCAGATATGTAGAATAAAATTCAGCTGTGGATTATTAAATATTTCTAGATGTGAACACCTGAGAATAGTTGGAGTCAAACATTAAACAGAATGGCAGCTCTGTACACCACATTACAGCCTGGCAGAGCTAAGCACTTTTCAAAAAGTAGGAATGCTGGTTGTGCCACTAGCATTACAGCTGCCTTGGCTCTGAAAGTCTGAATGTTGTAACTAGCTGAAGCAGACCACACCTTCCTTACTCACGTACCTTTGACATGTTTTGGAACACGTATTGTCATTTAGTTGCCTGTAGCAAAAAAAATTTCTTCATGATGCTTCTAAATTGTTCTGTGTGTTGTTGGCTGAAGGCATAAAAGAAAAAAGAAAAAAAAAGCGCCCTTTAACTCTGAAAATTAATACGGTCAGAGTGGAAAACATCAAGAATGTCGATTAAATAATGCAGAAAAGGATGACAACAGTCCGAGGGGACTGTTGTGATTTCTTCCCAATCAATGGTATATGTTGCAGTGGTTACGTGTGCTTGCAAAATAGCTCTTACAGGTCTAGATCTTTAAACATCGCTGTCTCATGTAAACTCCTAGAAGGCTAAGAAATTCAGCTTTGAGAACCATTTGAGTATACTGGCAGTTTTACTTGCTGTTTAAGTCTGAAAGAAGTATATACGTACCTTTATATACAATGATACTTTAAAATTAGGTTTTATTGAAGACTAAGTACCATTCAAATCACCAGAGTCATTGAATTAAATAGATTTATAAGAGCCATATGTAAACAGTGCTTAAAATATGTTTCTGCTCCCTCCCCACCCCGTGCATTTACAGTTCTTTGAGGAGGTAGGGTATTCTTACTGAATAAAAGTCTTGGTCCCCATTGTATTTTTGAAAACCAGTAGAAATGCAGAAGATGTTTGTTATGTTTAGGTACCTTTATTGGAGATAGTTTTGCAGAAGACTGTTTATAGAATTCCTTCGGACAATTTGAATTTTTTAAATCAGTAAATAATAATAAAAAAGATGTTGCATAAGAACATGCTCCATACATACACTTTGCCAGTTTTCAAATTAAATGAGCTTTCTCATTTGCATTTTGTTATCATATGCATTCTCAGTCCTGCTTCATCTTGGTGGAGATAACTTTTTAAAAACATGAATGTCTTCAGTAAACACTTGCCATCTCCTATGCATTTTCTAAGTAACATTGTTCATCAGATTGCATATTGCCTTGGGAGATGGAAGATGCTATCCAGAGAGCAGCACTTGCAAAAAATCAGTTATTTCAAGCATATATTACTGCACTGAGTTTTTCAAGAACAGTGGCATATAAATCTCTGGAAATCCTAGCACCATTGTGCTCTTTTTGCTGGAGAGATAGTCACTGTCAGAGATAGCATTCAAATTTTAACTGGGCTATGTGTGTGCTGTTTGCTGTGTGGTTTGTTTTTTTTGGTTTTGATTTTTGTGGTGCTTTGTTTTTAAAAGGAGAAAAAGAAATTCGCTGCTCAGATTAGTTTGTCTTTAGGAGGTATAATATGCTGCTGCTACCTTGTTGCATGTTATGGTGCTAGTTATGGTACTAGTTTAGGAAAGCAAGCAATTGCTGTGAATCATCAACCAGCACCTACATTGTCTAAATACTGATGGAGTTTGATATAAGCAATAAATACAATTATTTTCACAATCTGAATCATGGTCTGTGATTTTGGGCTCCCAGTGTTTTAGCACAAACTTTTCAAATTCATGTTCTGATTTGTCTCTTTCTGGTTTTGTCTTTTTTAGTAAACAATAATGAATGTGGTAGGCATAGCATAGTCAAATTGATGTGTTGTGCTTTTCTTTTTGTGCTTGTTAGAGCCAAATTCAACTTTTACTAATACAGCTTAAAACTGAATGAAAAGATTATTTAAGTTTGAGAAGTACTGCAAGTGGAAGGATGCTTTAAACAAAACAATGTGAGAATACTGGATTAAAATATCTCTTGCTGGCTGCTGGTAAAACTTACTGATGGAGGATCGTTTCTAGCTGAAGTACCCTAAAAGCAATAAGTTGTTCATGGCTGTTTCATTTGTTTCTCTTTGAAGTTTGATTAAAAGTTTTGACTTTAATAGTTCCCTCCTCAATATTTGCTTTGTGCTGAATTAAAAGGAAGGGTAGAAAGAAAACTGATTAGTGGATGTTGAGGCAGAGAAATTCCTGGGAAATGAAGCTGTCCAGAGAAATACATGCAGAAACTGTACAAAAAGAAACGTTTGTGGAAAGTGTGCAAGAACAAATTGGAAATCCAAAAAATACGTGACTGTCTTTTCTGTATGCTGGGCACTGTGACTTCAGCCTGCATATTCCAGTTGTAGAAACCCTCCTGAGTTCATCTGTAAGTTTCAGGGGAGAGAGGTTTTACATAACATTTCTTTGGCTTAATCTGCAGATACAAGCCATTAAGAGAATGAACCTGTAAATGCATTTGCACCTAGACAGCCAGGAAAAATTTGGTCTACAGTTTGCATTTTACTGTAGACTAACATGATTCTGCTTAAAAGTATTTGAGAAATGATTAGATTGGTGTCACTTTTTGCCTAGAATAGGCATATGGAATGACAATCATAAAACATTTTATTTCTTGGGTAAGGCATGTCATGAAAATATGCATGTGTTTAATATTAAGGATATGATTTGCACTATTGACTTAAATGACAAATTCATGGGTATATTCATAAGCATAAATTAAGGCTTTGTTTTCTTGAGAAGGATGATGCAATCCAACTTCTAAATTGTATAAGCCTTTAATATTTTTAATAAAAACATTTTTAATGCATTTTAATAAGACTAAAAATTTTCTTTCGCAGCTGTTGGAATAATACAGTGTATGTTTGCTGTCTACTTATTTTTTTTAATGGTATGAAGTGTCTAAATGTGATAGATTCACAGCTTAGTGTTTTTAAAACTAGTTTTACCCCAAACGCTTTTGCTACTATAAACGTTGGAACTTTAATCTCATAAAGTGTGAAAGTGTATTTCATATCACAAGGATAAACTTGATAAGAATAGAAAACTAGAAGCCTTATATTCAAGATTCATTGCAGATTAAACTCAAAATGTGATCTGTGAAGAACGTCACTGGGCATGTTCTGACTTCTTAACTAGCTGATTTCTTTATAAACATGGATTAAAGCTTAGAAAACCCTAGTTCTGAATGTGTATGCAATATAGTAGCTTGTGCAAAGCTGCTTTTCAGTCTGGGGGTTCAAAGTTCAGATAGGTTTAAAAAGGGGTGTTTGTATTTCTGGTTGATGTCTGGTCCATACTTGGTTTGTGAAGCAACCCTGTAGTGTAGATTTTATGCAGATTATTAAAAAGAAAATAAAAACAGGTGAAGGGAATAACTGGCTCATGGCCTCAAATATAGCTTTTTAAAAACAATCTGTGCAAGAACATGTACAGCATTGAAGTTAGATTTGTTTAATTAGACATAGTGGGAAATGAGCTACTGTGTGCTTCATATTTTGTTGAAATTGGATTGTGGAATCTTTTAACCAGGTCTTGTCATTGGTGTATATGTATTTGATTAATAAGAAGTGAAATGATTGTCAGATGTTTGTGTAGCAATGGTCATGATTGCATCTCATCTTCGTATTAAAAAATTAGGGGATAGTGGAATATTGGCAGTTTAAATTTCCTTTTAACTTAAGAATAAGGTATATTAGACTGTGAGGTATTTCAGCAAATTCTGACACAGTGTGCTCTGTGATATGGAAGTCTAACTCTGATTTCCATTTCTGTGCCACTGTTAACCATATGCCCAGCCAAAAGCGAAGTCTGGTCCGAATTCAAGTGCTGGGATAGCCTAACGTGCATGTAATGCTTTGCCAAGCATGTAGTTGTTATAGATAAAACTACTGTCTAACTGAGAGTTTGAATTGTGTGTCTCGTTTTATGAACTCTCCAGGCAAGTTGTTGGTAGTCTTGAGTGACTTTTGTCTGTCTTGTTCAGCCCAGTATAGACAATATCCAATTTCATGGATAAGAAAAGATAACCTCTGCAAGATGCAGCCTCATGCTGAAAATCTGGTATTCAGCAATTTATTTCTCCATTTCAGCAGTGGGGGCAGTTACCTGTGAATCTAGCTGCATCTCTGGTGGTCCACTGCTAACTGCCTGTCAGTATCATTGTTAAGAACAAGAATTTATCTTGGCTGTAAACCACAGAAAAAGGTCTACCAAAAATAAATATCCAGCACTAAACAAGACCCCTGTACTTAGTTTTCTGATGAGAAGGGAGGAGATGACTGACATGACATATCTCCTTATTGTGATTATCTTCT